TTGGTTTCTTGAACATGACAATGAGTTCACTGTACTAAAATGGCCCCCACAGTCACCAGATCTCAACCCAATAGAGCATCTTTGGGATGTGGTGGAACGGGAGCTTCGTGCCCTGGATGTGCATCCCACAAATCTCCATCAACTGCAAGATGCTATCCTATCAATATGGGCCAACATTTCTAAAGAATGCTTTCAGCACCTTGTTGAATCAATGCCACATAGAATTAAGGCAGTTCTGAAGGCGAAAGGGGGTCAAACACAGTATTAGTATGGTGTTCCTAATAATCCTTTAGGTGAGTGTATATATATATATATTAGGGCTGTCAAACGATTAATCACGATTAATCGCATCCAAAATAAAAGTTTGTGTTTACATAATATATGTGTGTGTACTGTGTATAATTATTTTGTATATAAATGCACACATGTATATATTTAAGAAAAATATGTTATTTATATATAAAATGTTTATATTTATATAAAATATACATTATATATAGGCTACATTCAGTCTATATACAGTATATACGTGCAAATATTTCTTAAATACACATGCATGTGTGGGTATTTATGTATTAAAAATAATTATACACAGTACACACACATACAGTATATTAAGTAAACACAAACTTTTATTTTGGATGCGATTAATCACGATTAATCGTTTGACAGCCCTAATATATATATATAAAAATGATGACAAATTAATATAATATATGCACACATATTTGGTAAATAACAAAAACTTATGTTAGATTCGATTATTCGTGATTCATCGATTCGACATCACTAAAGATAACATAATATAATATAATTATTCATATTTGTTAATAATCAGGCTGGAATTGTTTCACTGAAAGTTAAGTTAAATTTTAATATAATAAATATAATACATCATATGTAACACTTATGCGACATGGGGTGAATCAGGCTAGAATTATTTATTTCATTTTATTTTTATTAGAACTTAAGTTAAGATTGTAATTTAATATAATGTCATTATTCATATTTGTTAATAATCAATAGGCTAGAATTCTTTATTTTATTTGATAAGTCTTAGAACTTACGTTTTTATAATATAATATAATTTAATATAACATAATAGTCATTAGTCATATTTATTAAATCAGTAGGCTAGAATCCTTTAAAAAATAATTATATATTAAAACTGATGTTAAGTTTTAAATAATATAATATATTATAATATAATATAATAACCATTATTCATATTTATTAATCAGTAGGCTAGAATCCTTTAAAAAATATTATTTAAATAAAACTGATGTTAAGTTTTAAATAATATAATATAATTTTCTCTCTGCAGGAGCATGTCTACCCATGGTCCCAACAGTAGGGTGACCAACAGTCCTGTTTTCCCAGGACATGTCCTGTTTTCACATCCTGTCCTGTCCTGGCTGTTTTTTATAAAGTGATAAAAATGTCCTGGTTTTCAAAAAACTGCTGGGAAAGATCAGCTCTACAGCAAAATATAGATGGGCAAACAAGGAGGATGAGGAAGAAAAACAGGATAAAGAGGAAGAAAACTAAAGATATAATATTATATTTTGTTAGTTCGTTTTTGTAAGTTTGTGAGAGCTATTTTTGTTCAATTTAGAGGTATTTCTTTTAGTTATTTATTATTTATATATTTATTTTTCTAATACAGAAGAGACATTATTTCATTCATTATTTTTGAAACCTGTCATAATAAAACATGTTGAGAGTAACCTCCGAGAAGCCTATCTGAATTTGTGTCTTGTAATATAACAATTTTCTATCCATACAGAGGAGGCATAGCCTACTTTAAATGTATTGAAATTAATAAGGCATATTTGAGTAAACTTCAGGTATCATTTGAGTATCTGTTTGCCGGGCGGAGTGTCCTGGTTTTTGGTAATCAAAACATGGTCACCCTACCCAACAGGCCTCATCAGAAACAGTTGTGTAATGTTATTTACATTTCTGCAGCGTAATTACAGTTGATAAGAATATGGCTGTGATCCCAAAGCTGATTAAAACCAGAGGCAGCAGTTCAAAAAGAGTACACGACTACTCTTCCCTCCCAAATCATGTCTTCCTTCTTCTTTCGGCCCCCTTCCCGCACTACTACCGCCTCCAACCCTTCTTTCTTTGCGTTTCTTGCTTTGTTGCCCTCCGTCAGTTTGTCCTGTGTTCTCAGATGCGGGCGAATGAGAAGGGAGATTATACAGTGGGTGGTAGTCGAAGAGTGAAAAAGAGAAACGAGGACACTAGATATCACTGTGAGTGTAACTGGGGCATGGGAGGGGAAGCTGAACAAGAGACGGAAGAAGTGAAAGTGCAAAATAGAGAAGAGACAAATGATGAAAGCGATAAAAGCCCTTGTGAAAAGGATGTCAGAGTCTTTAATGAGCACAGTTCATTGATAGAACCATACCACTTCTACTTGCCTTCCCTATCCACAAATACAATCGTGTGCAGAAGCTTGGGAGCCCTGGGCGATTAAACAAAATTAAAAGTAGTAACCAGCATTGTGAACTTACTGGACGGCCATTTTTCAGCTATTTTCACTCACGTGCTGTTTTCTTTTTCTTTTTTTTTACTTAGAAAATAAAACTTGTATTTTATCATAAACCACTTATAATGGCTAAACTTGATAAAAGTTTCATAACCTCATCTGACTTCTCTCGCTCTCTTTTATACTGCTTCAAACAACTTAGACTGTCACCTCAAACCACATTGTGATACACGGGTGTCAGAAAGAGGTCACACTGCCCCCTCCTGGACAACTTCTGTTATTCTAAATCCTGATCAATCCTGTGTGGCTCTGCCATCTGCTGGGCTGTAAGAATAGGTTGTGATTTTTCACATGATATTGCACAATATGTTTCAATTTGAGATCATTCGTTAATGCATATTAGGTGTCATGAACTTGAAACATATTGGGTACTTTTGTTAAAGAGTTGAATTAATTTTATTTAGCCATCGAAGCATAGCGACAGTAAAGACATTTACATTGTTACAAAAGACTTCTATTTGAAATAAATTCGACAAAGAATCTTAAATAAATGTATAATGGTTTCCACAAAGATATCAGCATATTAGAATGATTTCTGAAGGATCATGTGACTCCGAAGATTTGAGTAATGGCTGCTGAAATTTTAGCTTTTGCTACCACAGGAATTTAAATAGAAATATAAACTAAACTGTAATGATATTTCACAATATTATTGTATTTACTGTATTTTTGATCGAATTAATGCACCCTTGGTGAGCAGAAGAAACTTCTTTCAAAAACATTCAAAACTCTTTCCGACCTCAAAAGTTTGAACGGTGAATATACAAATTAACATGAACCTAGAATAATAAAAGCTATTATGTATTGTTAGTTCATGACAAATTCAACGTTTTAGTTGTATTTATTTTATTTTTTTTAATTCATCATTTGTCATCATTTACTTGGTCTGTTCCTCACATACACTCACCTAAAGGATTATTACGAACACCATAATAATACTGTGTTTGACCCCCTTTTGCCTTCAGAACTGCCTTAATTCTATGTGGCATTGATTCAACAAGGTGCTGAAAGCATTCTTTAGAAATGTTGGCCCATATTGATAGGATAGCATCTTGCAGTTGATGGAGATTTGTGGGATGCACATCCAGGGCACGAAGCTCCCGTTCCACCACATCCCAAAGATGCTCTACTGGGTTGAGATCTGGTGACTGTGGAGGCCATTTTAGTACAGTGAACTCATTGTCATGTTCAAGAAACCAATTTGAAATGATTCGAGCTATGTGACAAGGTGCATTATCCTGCTGGAAGTAGCCATCAGAGAATGGGTACATGGTGGCCATAAAGGGATGGACATGGTCAGAAACAATGCTCAGGTAGGCCGTGACATTTAAACGATGCCCAATTGGCACTAAGGGGCCTAAAGTGTGCCAAGAAAACATCCCCCACACCATTACACCACCACCACCAGCCTGCACAGTGGTAACAAGGCATGATGGATCCATGTTCTCATTCTGTTTACGCCAAATTCTGACTCTACCATCTGAATGTCTCAACAGAAATCGAGACTCATCAGACCAGGCAACATTTTTCCAGTCTTCAACTGTCCAATTTTGGTGAGCTCTTGCAAATTGTAGCCTCTTATCCCTATTTGTAGTGTAGATGAGTGGTACCCGGTGGGGTCTTCTGCTGTTGTAGCCCATCCACCTCAAGGTTGTGCGTGTTGTGGCTTCACAAATGCTTTGCTGCATACCTCGGTTGTAACGAGTGGTTATTTCAGTCAAAGTTGCTCTTCTATCAGCTTGAATCAGTCGTCCCATTCTCCTCTGACCTCTAGCATCAACAAGGCATTTTCGCCCACAGGACTGCCGCATACTGGATATTTTTCCCTTTTCACACCATTCTTTGTAAACCCTAGAAATGGTTGTGCGTGAAAATCCCAGTAACTGAGCAGATTGTGAAATACTCAGACCGGCCCTACTGGCACCAACAACCATGCCACGCTCAAAATTGCTTAAATCACCTTTCTTTCCCATTCTGACATTCAGTTTGGAGTTCAGGAGATTGTCTTGACCAGGACCACACCCCTAAATGCATTGAAGCAACTGCCATGTGATTAGTTGATTAGATAATTGCATTAATGAGAAATAGAACAGGTGTTCCTAATAATCCTTTAGGTGAGTGTATACTTTAGCTATGGCTTGGAATGTATCACGCAAGTCAAATGAAGCTACAATGAATCATTGTATAAAGCTCTATTTTAGAGATTGACAGTATGAATCCATCATCTTTCATTCTATGGACAACAGGTGGACATTAAGTCTAAAATCTAAAAAAATAATAATAATGTTTCACAGTAGAAAGAAAGTAATACTGGGTTTGGAACATCATGACGGTGACATTAGGAAGACTGCAGTACTGAAGTGTTTAATCTGATCAGAAGAAAGAAATTACTTGAAATGTCTAGATTAGAGAGAATCAGGTTTTGATTTAGTGACTGTTTTACCTTCGTCTGGAAGCAGCAGAAAAGCTGAGTCAGATAGGGATGTTTTCTAGCCAGGGCCAGAATGCGTTTCTCTGTCAAAGTGCAGTCCACATCATCATCTTGAAGGATGACGTCTTTTTTCAAAACTTTCACAGCGTAAACTTCATCTGAGCCTTTCAGCTCAGCCAGCATCACCTACAGCACAGAGAGGGCAATGTGAAGATGTTGATTTGTTTTCATACACTAAAACTGAAAAGCACCGATTCGTGACCCTCACCTTGCCGAAGCTGCCTTTGCCCAGCACTTTGATGAATGAGAAGTCCGTGAGACTCATTCTCTTCGTCTGTACGGTATTCACGTCTCCATTCTCCCGGCTCTCGGTCGCTGTGCTCTGAACGGCGCTGCACGAGGAAGAGGAGGAAGACTTGTGCTCCTGGCCAAATGACAGGGCCTTGCGGATACTCTCCAGTTCTGCAAGCTCGGCTACAGACAGACAAATACAACATTAGATTTAAAGGAATAATTCTTTCAAAAATGGCAAATCTGTTATCATTTACTCGCACTCTAAACCTGTATGAGTTTCTTTCTTCCATAAAACACAAAAGGAAACATTTCAAAGTGCCCCTAAAATGCTCCTAATTTTGTTTTGAAGGTCTCCTACAATAGGTTTACATGCATCCTTTAATTTTCTCACAATATATATTGCATCATCACCTCTTTTCTCGCAGTGTCTAAAACAGTTTGATCAAGGACTTGTTCTCTCTAAACCCCACCTTTCCGGGAGCCTAACTCTGCTCTGATTGGTCAGATGGCCCAGTCTGTTGTGATTGGTCTACTGCTTACAGCATGTGTCAGAAACAAAACCCCTATTACCATATCTGAATTTCAGCCAAAGACTTTAAATTTCAGTTTTACTTTAGATTTCAGGTTAATATATGACTTGTGAAGTGAAGCGATGGGGTTTTGTAAGAAAAATATCCATATTTAAAACTTTATAAACTATAATCACTGGCTTCAGGCAACAGTTGTACATGTGTTACTGAGAAAGTCGAGTTCTTGCGGAAGGGGGACCTCTGACCCGACATATGACATAGGATGTAGCTCCTCTTCTCTTATATTGTAATCCTCTGACATTTTTCTTTAAAACTTCTCTTTTAGACTTCTAATTCATGACCGGCGTTTTGTTTCGCTCTATCCTTTGCGGTTCCACGTTTCTCAATTCTCACCTAAGCTTACGCTACGCCTTTGTCATACGTCGGGTCAGAGGTCACCCTTCCGCCGTAATTCGACTTTCCCTGTAACACGTGTACGGCCGTTGCCGGAAGCCAGTGATTATAGTTTATAAAGTTTTAAATATGGATATTTTTCTAACAAAAACCCACCGCTTCACTTCAGATAGCATTTATTAACACACTGGCGTCATATGGATTACTTTTATGATGGATGGATGCGCTTTTTGGAGCTTCAAAAACTCAGGCTCTATTCAATGCCATTACAAAGCTGAGAAGAGCCAGGATAATTTTTAACATAACACTGATTGTGTTCAGCTGAAAGAAGAAAGTCATTTACACATAAGAAGGCTTGAGGGATAATTTGAATTTTTGGGTGAACTATTCCTTTAAGTCACTTTTGAAGCTTGAAAGCTCCAGTTTCTAATCATTGTAATCAGAAAATAATTGAAATAATTGAACTATTGAAGGGCAACCAGCACATTCCTAAAAATGTCTCCTTTTGTATTTTAGGGGCGGGCGGGGGGGGGGGGGGGGGGCGGGGGGGCGGTCGATCGTACAGGTTCAGAGAAACATGAGAGTGAAAAAATATTCAGATAATTGATTAAATATTCATTTTTGGGTGAACTACTGTAACCCTTTAATTATGCAAATAAATGACGAATGGTGTAATAGTGAAAGAGTAAGATTGCAGAATATGTGCAAGAGAGTTTGTGTAATTCTGTACCCTGGTCGCAGGGTGAAGTTGGAGCTGATTTGCATCGGTCAGACTCCTCTGATGAAGGGGCTTCTGTCGTGGATTGCTGAGGGTCCTGCCCTGGAGTCAACTGAAGAGAAAACATTTTTTAATATTACTGCTAATGGTTTTTAATATTTTAATGTCCCAATCCTTTACATCACTGTCAGAATCATCACTGGCCTCATTTTACTGCATCATTATTTAAAGTGGTCATACTTTTATTTATTTTATTCCTCTGCTTATAATGTCATTATTTAGTTTTTGCATCGACCCACGTTCCATCTGGCCACCCCACATTCTGCAGATATTTAATACTACTCACCTTTTTCCTGCGTTGGGTACTGTTGGAGATTTTGTCTGGTGTCACCCCAAGATCAGCAAGCACTTTAGCAATTTTTCTGGCATCGACACCACAGCTAGGAGCTACATTACTTTCACAACGCCGATGGACATTCATTTTACAGGCTGAAAACAGGCAGGAAGACAAATGAATATATGGCAACAAAAGCAGATGTTTGACCACAAATCATTCATCACTGGTATCTGCAACGCTTGCCTTTGCACTGCAGGCCTTGCCGCATCAGTCCCCAAAGTAAGGAGCCGCAGTGGTCACAGAAGGTGGGGACTTTGTAATTGTGAATGCTGAACATGTGTGGAATGTTTACACTGAAGCGCTGGGAGCCAACCTGTAAAAACAAAACATCATTCATGCCACGATACTCACAATTCAACTGATCTCTCTGCTGAGGAAATCCTGTGCAGGTTTCAGTAGTTTTAGGAACATGGGCTCAATGTTAGTATTGTTAACTAAAACATATAACTAGTAATGGTAACACTTTACAACAAGCTCTCATTTGTTAACATTAGTTCATGCATTAACTTACATAAACTAACAGTGACAATCTATATTTACAGCATTTATTAAATTTTGCTAATGTTAGTTAATTAAAATGTTCATGTTCATGTTAATGCGTTAACTAATGTTAACAGATACAAAGTTAGATTTTAATAATGTATTAGTAAATGTTGAGATTAGCATCAAATAAGATCAATAAATGCTGCAGAAGTATTGTTCACTGTTAGTTTACATCAACTAACGTAGTTAACTAATGTTAACAAATTAAACCTTATTGTAAAGTGTTACCCTATTAATAATAAGCTGAGTTTTCGCACCATTGGTGCCTGGGCCCTAAAAAAATAATTTATGTTAATTTAAATAAAGCTGTTGTGTTTAAAAATGAGAAAGAATTAAAACCTTAAATAAAATCAGTTTAAGCTGAAGGACTAAAATTACTAAATCTAAAACTGGAATAAAAATAAATTAAAAACAAAAAAATGACTCAACCTTAAACAAAAATTACAAAGAAAACTGAAAATATAAATTTAAAATAAAATAAAAATACAAATAAATACTATAATAGTATAAAAATGATATTAAAACAGCACTACATGGGCTGTGTTTAGAAAACTAGCATACACTGTACAGTGTGCTGCCTACAATTGAAAAAAAATACTATGTGTATCATTACATACTATGCATCAATCTTTAACATTTAAAACAATCATCATGACCTTGCTACAGTACAATTATCTCATTATGTTATGTGTGATGCTATCACCTAGGAAATAAATAATTTTCATTGAAACAAAATTGTTTGTAAATATTACAAGAAAGAGAGGAGAATTGTGGCTGATATTATTTGTCACACTGTAAAAGGAAGGTCAAGTTAGCCACGTCATACTGCTTGCTGTATTTTCTGTTGTGATAATTGTCAACATTTTGGCAAATGTAGTAAGTCATAAAATGATCTGCAGTATACATACTGCAAAAACTAGTACGCTAACTCAAACATAGCTCGGTCTTTTGAGAGAAATGTAGAACTGACCTCTTCAGGAGTGTCTTCCTGTTTCTTCAAGCCAGCGCATTTTGTTATGATGAGCTCATGGCATCTCTTATGGACCACGCAGGTACACACTGAGAGATTTAAGGAATAGGCAAAAAGTTTACTTCGGTAACACTTTACAATAAGGTTACATTAGTTAGCATGAACTAACCATGAAAAATACTTCAAAAGAATTGATCTTAATCTAAATTTCAACATTTACTAATACATTATTAAAGGGTTAGTTCAACCAAAATTAAAAATTCTATCATGAATTGCTCACCCTCACCCTCCAAACCCGTAAGACTTTCGTTCATCTTCGGAATATGGAAATATTTCCATTCCATTCCATTTCGGAAAATGAAGATATTTTTGATGAAATCTGAGAGCTTTCTGTCCCTTCAAAAGGTTCATAAAGAGACAGTAAAACTAATCCATATGAATTGAGCTGATTATTCCAAATTATTTTCTGAAGAGACACGGTCGCTTTATATGATAAACAGATTGAATTTAGGCTTTTATATATAAACATTGATCAGCGAAAATGAGTTGATGTATGTTTATATGTGAATAAAAGCCTAAATTCAATCTGTTCATCATATAAAGTGATCGAGTCTCTTCAGAAAATTTTGACTAAAACGGTCAATTCATATGGATTAGTTTTACGATCTTTATGAACGTTTTGAAGCTTTAAAGTATAGTTGAGTAGACTGTCAATGGAGGGACAGCAATCTCTTAGATTAAATTTAAAAAGTTTGATAAAAAAAAAAAAAACGAAAGTCTTACGGGCTTGAGGGTGAGCAATTAATGACAGAATTTTCATTTTTTTGGGTGAACTAACCATTTAATACAATAATATTATTTAATGGACCTGAGCTACCATGAACTAACTATGGAAAGTCGTATTTTTATTACCTAACATTGACAAAGATTAATAAATACTTAAACAAATGTATTGCTCATTGTTATTTAATGTTAAATAATGCATTAACTAAAGTTAACTAATGGGACCTTATTGTAAAGTGTTACCACTTTTTCCATGGTAATAAGATATTTAAAAATAAAGATGAATCAAACCAGGCAATATTATAATTGATTTTATTATCACTGTACATAAGAGAATGGCGTCTTACTCACCCTGGCACTGATACCCCTGTTTCCCCAACACACCCCTGCAGAACCACAGAGAAATAAATGTGTTAAACAACTCTGACACACTGAGCAGTTCTGTTTCCGACCAGCAGAGGGTGGGTTGTGCTACAACACAAATCTCTATAGCTGATTCTGTCAGTGGCAACAAGCAGCATTGTGTATAGCCACAGGGACACACTAGGTATGCCAGGTATGCAAATAGTTAGACTGAACAGTTATTACTACTGGGAGGAACTGTTTGCAGAGACAAAAATAAACATCTGTCTAATCTATAAAATGCCCTCCGCACTGGCACAAAGGACAGTGGTTCTAATTTGCTTTCAATGTTAATATTCATTACACAAACTCCTTTGTTGTAATCAGGAGGAGGAGTGCTTGTGATTAGCATCAGGTTTCGCCTTTGAAAATGACATATATCTGACATTTATACATCTGAAAAGGACCTTATAATAAAGGTAGTCCTGTATAGACGTAGCTATTGTGGATGACATGCAGGGCTACAGGTGAGGAGCAACACGCATCTTACCAGATGAAATCTCTGCAGTGGGAGCAGTAGGTGGGCTGTCTCAGGTAGGTGGCCATAAACTTGTGGCCGTTAACCTGATGGACACGCCTCCGAACCGCCCCCTGACGTTTTCGTGGACGCATCCGCTCACGGAACACTCTCTCCTCATTTTCATTGGATGACGCAGCTGCAAAATAAAATGAAAATGACATTTAACGATAAGTTAGTTGAATGTGTTGGACGCAGGTGAATTTTATTGTTTAGTTTATCATCACTCATAACGCATTCATCAGAATATTGCACGATTTCTAGTTCTCCTTATTCTGCCCTAGAAAGGAAAAAGGCAGTAACTGCATTTTTGGTAAAAAATGAGTTATTATCATTTTCATGACATTCAATGCATCCTTTGTTATGTGACAAAACATCTTATCTCAAATGTGTGTCGTTTTGGAGAAAAATGGTAGTCGTTTGTACAGTAACTGCAAAAAGCCCTAGTGAAACAAAGCAAGAGTACAGTAACATCGATTACTGTATTCTTGTTATGTTTTACCTAACAAAAAATAACCGTGTTTCTGCGCAGTGTAGTTACTGTTGCCATGGTGAACACACAGCTGATTTTCGGGCATCCTCACGGGACGATTTTAACATTCGCGATTTCACCCTTCTAACTTCCCCTAATTGTTCCCCTACCAAACTATCCCCCTCCCCTAAAAGAATGAAAAACATATTCCAGAAAGAAAAAAAAGGTGCACGAGCTCCATGTAGTAACTTTAGCGGTTACTATGATTTTCGCGATATAGCAGTTCAGTACACTTGAAATTTAATCGTGATAGACTACTGTGAATATTAAACCGCAATAATAGTACTATTAAATACAAATCCTACATGTTCTGTGAATAAATGGTGCAGTCGACGCGCAGTTTCATTTAACACACACACACGCTGAAGCACGTGTGACGCTCAAGCTGTTTTTTGCCTAACGTTATATTGGGACACGACTGCATGAACTTACTCTCCAGACTCTAGATCAGCTCTTAAAGTCACTTTGTGAGCATTTAACCGCTTCATTTGAGGAAAGCTATCGTCATGTCATAAACACAGAAACTCAAAGGTCTTCACGGCAACCCGTCAAAATAAAAGTTCGGTTTAACTTGACAGAAATATATTACTGTTGTGCAGAAGAATTTAGAAACGTCTCAATGTAATAATAATACTAACACTAATACAAATAAATTAAGATTAAAACTGAATTTTTATTCAATGTTTTCATTTTAACAGTAAAGCTCTTTGTGCAGCATGTTGTTTGACCAAAAATGTTTAATTTCATATGATTAAAAGAAATGTAATTAATAATATATTAGAATTTTTACATATTTTATTTTTAATATTCATAGAATATTTTTTAAATATTGTATAAGTTTAATAATAGTTTATAATAAAAGTGTCATGATTTCAATTAATTAGACGTTATTTTTGATTACTAAAAAATTACACCACGTATCCGTCACACACCCGCTCCGCTACACTAGTTTCGCAACACAAAAATGTTGTCCAAATGGTTCCAATTATTTCACATACAGTGTATCTAACACACCCAGAGCCCAAGTTGTGGCAAAATAGTTTTTGGAGAATCTGTAGTTACTGCCTTTTTCCTTGGTATGGTGCCACGTTTTTGGTAAGTAATACAAAGCAAGAATACAGTAACTGCAAAATAGGGGTAAAATATCAAATTAAATACGAGGATTGATATGTACAAAGAATAAGCTAATATAAAGTAACAAAACAGCCACATGTCCAATAATCTACCTACAACTACTTAGGCTGGATGACAGGATAACTTGAAAGTCATTTTTCTCTGTTCTGCACTCTGCGTAGTTACTGCCTTTTTGCTTTGTAGGCCAGTATTACATATTACAATTGTATGGATTATAAAGATATCTAAAGAAATTTTTAAAAATGGCTACACTACCATTCAAAAGTTGGAGTCAGTAAGATTTTTTTTAAAATGAAGAACACATTAACTGATCAAAGGTTACAATAAAGACAATTATATTGTTACAAAAGATTTCTATTTCAAACAAATGCTGTTCTTTTGACCTTTCTAATTGTTAAAGAATCCTTAAAAAATATATAAAGCAGCACAACTGTTTTCCACATTGATAATAATACAAAATTTAGCTTGATAACCAAATCAGCATTAGAATGATTTCGGAAGGATCGCACAACACAAGCTGAAGTAATGGCTGCTTTCCATAGCAGAACAAAAAAACACATTAACATAATATATTAAATATATAAAAATACATATAACCATTCATTTAAATTGTAATAATTTCACAATATACTTTACTGTATTTTGACCAAATAAATGCAGCTTTGGTAAACATAAGAGACTTTTATTGAATTGATTTTTTCAATGAAATTAAATTATACTTCCACTGTCTATGCCATTTTTTCATACATCACCACCAGCCTGACATAGTAAAATTGGTTCAACCAATGGCGTGAGCATGGGGCGGAGCTACCTGTTAATTCAACCAATAGCAGACATGGGGGAGTGTTTAAGAGAACCTGTTTGAGAACAATCATTATTTTTGCGCTTCTGTTTTGCCATTACACGTCACCTTATGCTCTCCATCAAAGATAAATCACATACATATCCACACACTAGAACCCTGGCCACCACCAAACAGAACGCTCCTCAAGAAGCCTCATGATCTAAAGTTAACCCAGCCAGCAGAGAAAGTGAACAAACACATCATTGATTCTCAAGCAACTCTTCCCCTCACTTTGCCCCATTTGAGGGCTGCAGTAATTGTGTATGTGTGTTGATCATGAGAGAAACCGGCGGCCGAGGACCACCTGACCAACCATGTGACCCACCACCACGGCTCCATGCATTCCAGCAGTCAGGTGATGCCTTTGAGGGGGACAGCGTTCCTTCATCAGACCAACAACTGTGAAATTACATTCACATCACTACGTGTGTTGTGGCGGTGTCCATAATGTGCCCTGTGTCCGTCAATGAGTGTGAGAGAGAGAGTGGTTTCCTTGAAAGAGAGTAGTTTCTCCCTCTTGTTTGGTTCCAATAAACTTGTCATCCAACTCCTCCCACACTTCTTGTCTTTCAGTACAGCAGCGTATGTGTGGGCTGCATTATTTTAACGCTGTCTGTAAGAGGAGCTGCTGCAGAGGTGTGATTACAGCTAAGAATCCCCATAGGGTGGCAAGCAGCCCCCATAGAGCGACTAGGCTCAGCACAATTACCATTGCGAGCATCCTGGGGGACCATCTGTAAAAGTGTGCGTGAACGTCTGTGTGTATCCGAGTTCTGTCTCATGTCAGGGTGCTCCTGAGGCAAGTTGTGTGCTTGTTTTGTCTGATATCAGAGAGCGTCCTGTCTTCTGGAGCGGGCAGCTGCTCAGGAGAACAGCGTGGCAGCTAAAAGGGCCATTAGTGGGATAGATGTGCTTACATAATACATCATCCATCTGCTCAAAAAGCAGGGCTTAACCAGAACACACCTATACCTCCCAGCACAACACTGTTCACCTTAGTATACCACACACAGACACGCTGAAAGAGAAGACACGATAACAGTGGAGTTCATACTCTCTGTGTTCACTTTATAGATCTAGTCACCGTATTTAATTTGACATGAACATGAGGCAGGGAGGAAATCAATAGTTCTGTTTTAAAACCTAGCGTGCTGACTAACTAGACAGCATTTTAAGGCATCATAGGCCCAACATGAAGGCAGTTATGCAGCAAAATGATGCTTTCTTTAGAGATTTTGACCAAGGCAGCATCACATGTATATCTTTCACAGAGAAGGCAAACCTAGAATAGACAGTGGCAAGCTCAGTGAAAAAGTTCACCCAAAACAGTGGACAAAGTGACAGATTTTTATTTTAGTAGGACTTCTATTTTATAGTTTTAAAATAACTATTTTATCATTTAACATCATGCTGTTAGCTTAGCAACATGTAATAATATACATATAGTTGGGGTTATATACAGTATATGTAAAAGAGATGTGATGAAGGTGTACAGTAGACATACACCTTTACAATCATTATCGCTCTCATTCAAGTCTGATGACATGCAGCAGGTGAGAATGCATGAACACTTTCCCTAGTGACTGTGTCCATGGTGATCAGGGACGACGTGCACGTGCGCTCCACTAAACCACGGTCTCTCCTTTCCATCCACACTATACTCATCCTTCCACACCTCTCTGTTCCTCTTTTTTAATTTGTGTATATTTCGCCACTATTCTCCTGGTTGGCTTGTGGAAGTTTGAGCTGATGAGAGTTTTAGCCGAACGGTTGTATTCACCCACGGTCAGACAGCCAAGAGGAGCTTGGGGCAGCCTCCACCCACGCCAATGCCACTTCAGCCTCAGACACGCCACCCACAAGCACTCTCCAATCCAGCCAGAGCACAGCATGGGACCAATTAAAATGGCATCAATCAGAAAAAGAGAGGGATAGAGAGAGAGAGAGATTCCAAATCTGCTTATAACTCAATGACGGTCAGTTCCATACCTTCAGATTGATCAATGAGTGGCAGATGAGCCACACAACTTTCAATTTAATCATCCCAGGTAAAGTTTAAAGAGTTTAGAGCTGGACAAATAGTGCAGATTGATAGAAACCCCCGGAAAAGAGCATGCTGGTACAAACTGGTTAGTGCTGGTTAGGTGGTAGTCTAACTGGTGGGCCACCGTAACCTTCTTTCTGTTGAAACTGGCTGAACAAGGAAAGTTTGCACTGTAAACCGTAATAATTCGGCAAAACTAAAAAATTGAGGTGATTAACTTTAAATTTTGATTTTGTACTATAAACAATTTAATTGAAATATTGTCCAAGCTAACTGATACAATTTGAATGCATCAACATCATATTAAGTCAAATCTTTTGCAGTTAACTGTATGTGCTATTGTATAAAAGATACTATCACTATAGACTTGCATGTACACAGTTAACCCTTTAAGTGTCACCCCCCTTTTTTTGAATATACATGAAAATGCACGTTTCAAGCTTAAATGGTTGTAATTCAAGAATGCTTTGGAATATCGACGTAAGATTGGTCTCGTTTTAAAGAGACATTTGGCAGATTTTTGTAGAAGTGAAATAAATTAAGAAAGTGAAACAGAAAAAAGTTATAGAAGTTTGAGTTTATGAA